CTTTAATTGGATTTTGTAATGTCCCTTTGAAGTAGAAAAACTTGAATGCAACCAAAAGGTTCAACAGTAAGAAGCGCACACAATATTCCAGTTGGCAGCAAATACAAAGGTCTCCTTATAAACTTTATTAATCAATTTGGTATTTACAAATACATACATAATCTAACAATTCTGATATGAAACATTGGTATTTACAAAATAGCTCTTGGAAAAATTCTGTACAGTACAACCTGATAAGTTAGTAAATTACATTAGTAGGTAACTGTGCAGAAGGTTTCTTAAGGACCCAGAATACACTGAATTCAAGTTCTAAACCTAAATTTCTTTTTCTTTCACTATCAGACAGTTGGTTTAACCAACATTTCAACAAAGAGCTTCAAAGGACCAAATTTCCATGTTCCAGTAAAAATCTAACGATTTTTTGAAATATTACAAATTATAACCATGACATCATACATATGTCGAAGAAAACAAATTTGAGATTGAAATTGTGAGGACATGTAAACAACAAAAACCACCATTCATTAGGTGCTTCACCACAAGTTTCTGAACTCACTGAACATTAAAAGCAACAACACATTTCAAACTGAAACTTAAACTCTTTGCTCCAGAACAGCAGTTCACCATGGCATTCTAATTGCAGCAGGAAGTCTCCTCACACAGCCGAGCTGCCATCGTGGCCCAGAATGTGGCTGATGTTGTGGGCAGGACGATTTGGCTGTTTGCTGGAGTCGGCAGATGAGGTGTTGGAGAGAGACAGCAGGGGTGACATTGGCATGGCTGAGCCATCGGTGGGCATGCCAGTGGCGATCTCAGGGAAGAGAGAGGTGAGGCTGAAGTTAGATATGTGAGGAGTAATTCCAGACGAGTTGGCAATGGGCATAGGGGGCATATCTGGAAGCAAAGGGAAACTGGCCTGACCAAAACCCACAGGGCGAGGCGGGGAGAGGATAGAGCCAAAGCGGTTGTTGAGCGGAGGAGCGCTGCCCTTGTCTGCACTCGGACTGGTAAACATTTGGTTGGGAAAGTATTGAAGGGTGACATCACTGGGAAGGCTGGGGTGAGCAGCTGGAGAATAGGAAGGATAGAAGGAGGGTAAAGTGTTTTGAGGCTCAACTGGGAGAAGGGACGGCGTACGGGAAGCGTTGGGCTGGCTGACAGGCGGGATGAACGTAGAGTTTGCATTGATGGGAGGTGGAGGATTCATGCCTCCTTCAGGAATAAAGGGGAAACCAAAGTTCTGTGTTAGGTGTTGGTCAGGAACCAGGTTGTTGTCACTAGGAACCTGACCACTATCTGCCATAAAGCGTACGATGGTACTGCGCCGTGCCTCTCCTCCAGACTGCGGTCGGCTCAGCAGCACCCCCCCTCCAGAGGGCAGAGGCAGGTGGCCCTCAGGTTCAAAGGGGTTGCTTGGTCTCAGAGCACCTGACCGAGGCCGGTCACCGGGTCTCAGCTTAGTAGGCTGAGCATCTCTGGTGATATGGCGAGAGTGCTGGCTGACAGCGGTGGGTGGTCTGGAGGGGGCCGAGGAGCGGCCTGGCTCAGAGCTGCTGTGTGGGGTTGGAGGGTGGGGGAGACCTGCTCGCACACCTGGGCCTGCGTGCATATTACTAGTGACCTGAGAAATGTGGCCCTTGTTGCCCTCACCAAGTCGCATAGCTGGGGCCTTCTGGGTTTGGGGCACACTGGGGCTAGAGGCCTTGGCCTGTATGTCTCCTGAAGAGCTTCCAGGCACACAGCTGTACTCCATGCTGACTGGGGGGCAGCACTGCGCCGCTCGCTGGTGGTTGCTCTGCTCAGGAAGGTGGGGGGAAAGGAGGCTTTGCATGAAACTCTGGTGACAGCCTTCCTGTTCCCGGTTCAGTGCTGGTCCCACCTGCACTCCCTGTGAGCCAGGATGAGCCCCACTGTAGCCACCACGATTCCTGCCATCTGTTGGGGGGCCAACACCCATCCTGAATCCTCCCTGCTGCTGGCCCTGCGGGCCCCGTTGGGAAGGAGGCACTGACTTAGGGGCCATGTCACTCCCACGAGACACCTGAGCCTCAAAACCACTGAGCTGATGTGCTCCCCCTCCACCTCCCATAGACTTAAAGGGCGGACACTCGGAGACACGCTGAACATCAGTGGACCCTGGATGGTCGGAGGGTAGGCGGTTCTGTGGGTTGTGTGCAATGTTGCCCTTCCCTCGTGATGTGTCCAGGTAACCACGGAGATCTGGCTGCTCCTGAGCAGCACCACGGCCAGGTTGCAGGTGAAGACCCATCCGTTGCTGCTGCTCCCCGCTACTGGAACTTTTACCGATGAGCGCCTCTGCAGAGTAGTTGGACACACGGTGACGTTCCTGGCGAGACGGAGCGCAGGCCAAGTCAGACGACCGGGACACCGGGTTGCTGGAAGGAGAGATGAGCTGTTGCTCCAGAGTTCTGGAGCTCATCATCCTCTGCATAGCATTATGGTCCTGACCAGGCTGAGGAAAAAAAAGAAAAGGTTAAAATGTTGTTAACACAAGTCTCAAAAATATCAAATTAGACTTACGGCAAGATCACCATAGGGCAATGACTGCAAAAAAACAGATATGGTGTAAAAAGTCATCCAGCCATAACCTGATGCTGCGTGCTTCTCAAACATGAGTTAAGCATTTTCTTGTCGGCTCCCATAAATTTTAAAAATAGACAGCGAAGCTAAAAAATACTGACAACCGGCCAGCTATTACAATAACGGAATTGCATTTAACTTAAAATGACTAACAACCTTGAATTTTCATTCCTCTGTCTACACTGTGGCTACGGGGGCAGGGCTGCTCTTTCACTGCAAAGCCCCAGACAAAAAAAGCTCCAGGGCACTCATTTTGTTATTGTTTTTAGGACTTTTTTTGCAGTGGTGGAGTAAATGTGGTCTGCTGTGGTGAACTGCTACAGCGAGATCTTTGTAAAGGGAACACTTAACGGCCACAGTGTCACATAGGCTCAGATAGGTAGACAAACCAGTGGC